ACGTCTGGAATTCCGGTAAGTTGGCAACACTGGAGCACAAAAGCAGTAACAATGAGGGAAACCCTTCAGGGCAGAAAGGAATGTTTGGATCCCCGGGCCGCCACAGTGAAAGGGCGGGCACACACACACACACACACACACACACACACACACACACACACCAGGCTCCCAGGCACGGATTGGGGCTCTTTGCAACTTGGAGGTGCAGGGGCGCGGGGTGACCCTGCAGCCCGGCCCTGGGAGGCTTCGAACCTCCGTGACCTCAGCGCGGGTCTTGGAACTATCATTCTGGAAGCGGCATAAATCACCCGTTGAGTTTGAAGAGCAACATCGCGGCCCCTCCCCAGCCCCCACTCGGGTTATTTCCTTTACACATCAACCCTCCTCCCTGGGGGTCCCCAACTCCTCCCCCCAGTTCCTTTTGGGTGTCGCACAGCAAGAGACTTGGGCCAGAGCATAGAACTTCACGTTTCCCAGGCCAGACATCACCGTTTTCACAAACCTGCTGGTTTTCTCTTAAGTTTTCTGTGCTTGAATTTGTCTTCCAAAAGCAACACCTAATTTGTCCCCCTTTTCCATTCTTTACCAACCCAAGTCACGCTACAGGGACTGTTGTGGTCAGCAGAGGTCAGGGTTGGGGTGGGGAGAGGGGGGAGAAGAGGAACAGTGACTGCCAGCCTGCTGCTGGGAGGGGGAGGGGAAGGCGAGGGACCCTGCTCTGTCCCCGCGTGGATAGTCGCCTCCCTAAGTCACAGCCTTTTGCCTGAGGGCTCGGACCTGCTGCAGCTGCGGGGGGTCGGGTTGGGTGGAGATTCTGGGCCGATCTGAGTCCGGGAAACAGCCCCATCCTCCGGTGGGACCCCCAGCGCCATCAGTTGCTTCAGCGCTGCGGAGCCGAGGACCACGGTCTCAGGCACTCCGTAAGATCCATCTTCTTAAGAGGGCCGTGTCTGAGTTAACACGTTCAGTGTGGCCCCCAAGAGGGGACCCGTGGGGTCCCCCGAATTCCAGGCATTACGGAGAAGACAACCCTTCCCCCCAAGTTTTGTTTCAAGATGAGCAGAAGTGTAAGAGATGCTTTCTGGAGTGGCACCTGGCGCTCGAGGAGCTAGATAGATGCGGCTTCCACCGCCCGACGGGATCTCGTCTCTAAAAACACAACCCCATCCGAACAGCCTGCACCCTGTCAGGGATGAGGCCCCGAGGGAGCTTAGCCAGTCCAGGCCGGGGGGGGGGGCGGGGGGCGCTGAGCTCAGGCGTCTTTCCAGCCCGTTCTGTTCCTCTGTCCAGCCTTTCCCTGGATCGCCCTTCCTTCCTTCTTTTCCTTCCTTCCTTCCTTCCTTCCTTCCTTCCTTCCTTCCTTCCTTCCTTCCT